AAAGCTTTAGAAACTAAGATCACGTGAGATCTCTCAGTCATGATCGTGTGAACGGTAGCACTCCGATTCTCAGCGCGCCAATTATCTTCGCGAGCAAACCAAACGAGTTCCCTTTCCCTCTCTTCACCTGAATCTTAAACAAAGTTGAAAAAAGATCAAAAGAACCGAAAGCATCCCTCTTTGCTTACACTTCCTCCACTCGTCACGCCCCGGCAACTTCGATATTTATTGTTTCTGCCCTCGATACATAGGCAGTCAGGACTCGCCTTAGGCATGCAAGCGCACATGCAAGCTTTTCTGCAGCTGCAGCAGTTCACCACAATATCCAATCGACGAGGCCTGCTCTGGCGGGTTTAAAAGGGCCACTGGCAGACTGCCAATAGGGCTGACAGAAAACGACAGGCTCGTTAACGGATAACCGGCGACAATTAAGGTAAACGAATCGATCGGGCCAGGGTATTTAACTACCACTCGGCCCACCAACCGGTGCACGTGTAATTAACGTGTAAAATCAAATTCATGCGCTCTCGTCGTTTTGTCTACCGCTTTCTTTCTCATTTTCCCTCCTCTTTGTTTTTTCTATTGCGTTCTCTTTTATTTCATTCCACGTTTGTTTGTTCGATCGCTCTCACCGAGAAGAAGCCCAAGAGTGTTACACTATGTATCAACGAAGCACAAGAGCAAACGTTGAACCCGTTCGAGGCTAGACAGATGATTTTTAAAGCTCGCCAAAGACGAATTTTACGCCCACGAGTGTTCCTTTTTTTCTTTCCCGACACGCAGATTCCGTCGAAGTGCACTTTGATTCTGCTTGCTTTGTTACTCGTGTTTGCGCAATGGGAACGTTTTGAGTGCGTCGAGTGTTTCGTGAAGTAGATTGCAGCATGACGTGTGGTCTAGTAGGTATTACACGATAAAACCTGATATCGTGCTTTTGTTCTCGATTGTTCTATTATACAACCAGATGATTCTTTTATCCAACTGCCTTTCCGGAAATAATAATTCTTGGACTTTACAATATCGATATCCATTGGTGTATGATGCCAGTGATTGATATCGTATTTGTAACATTTTAAACACTGTGGAAAATACGAGAAGGAATATCCGATAACTGATAATTAGAAATAAATTGCTTTACTTTGGTCATCTGCTGGAAATATTATATATATGCAGTGACTCGAGAATGTACTTGAGCGCCTCCGTCTTCAAAGTGTTGGAAATTGTATATGTTCATCGGGTTCCCCAAAGTCTCTTGCTCTTTTTAAAAGATGCTCATCGCGAAGGATGTGTTTGAAGATTCAGGATGTAAGATGATACTCTTTTTTCTCTTAGTGCGGTAATAAGTTGGAACAACATTAAGGAAAAAATGAAAAAGCTTCGAAACTTGAAGATGGAAACTCGTGACGTCTAGATTACGTCGCACGTAATTCGCACTTTTTATTTATTTATTTTTCTTCCTCGATATATCTAAAATCACAGTATCTTCTTAATTTGTGTACCTTGTAGAAGGGAACACGGTGATATATCATGTTGCGAAGTTACACGATTCTATTCTATTTGATTGACAGTTTACGAATAGCCCTGTAAAATGTGCATTTTTACCTTTGGTTCCAAGTATTGAGTGTGTAATAAATCTTTCCCGAGCTGATAATTGCTTTTCAGAAAGAACAATTTATAAGTAGTGTGTATTCCTATTTATTTTCCATTCTGTTAACTTACTCATTACAGATTTTTAATATATCTCATAGCGAATCGATCTTGATTCAAATCCTCTCGTTCTTAAAGTCAACTCTACTACAAATGTCTCTATAAATTATAAGAAATTATGCGGTTTAAAAAATTCTTGAATATTCATTGTAAAAAATGGGAAAAAACCGAAGGTCATTGTGTAAAAAATGATTGCATCAAAGATTTAAAGGTAACAGTTTATCATTTTCGCACCAAATAAAAATAAATGTGTCCGATATGGTCGGCTTTTCGGAAAATTTCTTCGCAATTCAAATCTAGACCTTGATCAAAATTAGTTACAATTTGATTTCACGCAAAGATTCAAATTGTATGTAGAATTCATTATTGCGTTTAGAAGTGGTAACTGGTCACGAGTGTAAGCGTCTCTATTTTTAACCGTGAATGATGATCCTTGTAAAAAACAAGTTGTAAATTGAAATTCAATACTCAGGTGATATGGAGAATTAATTTCCTTAAACTACCGAATTATCATGTATATATAAGTATGAGAATTGTAATAAAAATAAGTATGACCGATGTGACCGATTTCTTCAAATATGGGTCCAAGAAGAAGCAGTTTCGGTAAATTTATCAACAGAGGTATGATGAAATAAGCAATTAAAAAAAGAACACTCATTTATGTAATGAGTAAATTATGAAGTAACTAGGTACACATAATTATAACCGAGAAATATGTTAAAAATAAAAAAATTAATAGCATTTTTAAACAAGGATATCATATTTTCTACAGAAAAAATGCAATACTTATTAATTCCTATTTTTCACCCTATATTTACATATAATTTATACTTTTCACTCTCCTAGGATATAAATCAATAATAACTCATCCGAAGAAATTCATATTCAAGCAAAGAAAATGCGAAAGGAAGGTCAGAGAAAATTTAAACTTTTTGATCTTCCACCAACAATAAGAAAGCATTGAATCATACGTGTGATCAATTGAATTACGATGTAATCGATTAGTCGATGGTTTCATCAAAATAAATGACGTATTTTCCGCGACTTCGCCTCGATCTCTTGATCTTGATCATCGAAACTGATGAGTGATAACGATCACATATATGCGAAGATAACAGACTAATCTCGTTCAATGTGATCCAGATAATTACTTGGTTAAAAAAGCGAATTATTGGATCGAGATGGTTGCGCGACATCTCACTTTTAATCAATCCTCGTTATACTTATCGATAAAACGCATTTTAGTAAATAACAATTGCAAATCCAAGCAATTATTGAATTAGAGTGGCTGGATTATTCGTAAATTAAAGATTTATTCTCTTTAATGATTCTTTTCCCTTATAATATTGTTCATGGTACCTACGTACGAAATATTGCGATGTAGCTTGTGCGCTATTAAATATTAAGCAAGCATAAAACCGTGTTAAAATTCTAAAACAAGAAGGAAGCTCAATAGTATACCCGTAGAATTGATTGGAAACGTGGCAAGAAAAATACGAGAATAAAAATCAAAATAACGGTGAAATAACCGTGGAGTCCTTTGAGTTCTCCCGATAAAGATCATCGATCATCACACCTTGGTGCGTTAAGAGCTAAAGGAAAGTTGAAAGAAGAAACAACCGTAATCTCTTCGATCATTATAAAAATAGTTATTCCTCCATCAGATAGTGAGGATTAGGTGAGAACAAATCGATAACATTGTTCTTTTCTTCCTATCAGATGTTAACTTACGTTCAGTACATTATTTATAATGTAGGAAGTTCTCATAGAGGGGAATAGCCGATGAAATTGGACTTGGACCATCTTGTCAAATAGCGAAAACGAGGGAAATTATAATTTGTGGCAACGGTTCAAACTAAATTCTCACCCAACTGTCTCAGTCCTGGCTTCTGATCCACGGAAGTTAAATCTATCTGACCGAACGGTCAGAAACTGGCTAACACGTGAGGTTCAATCACAGAATGAAGCAGCCTGTTCGTCGATTAGCTACTCGGCTACATGTACCGTCTATTCTTAACGGGACTTTTATGAAAGAGAAGTCGAACGATTCGACTGAACGAAGATATGCCTGAACGAATGAAGAACGCTACACTCGAAATAGTCGGAGAATCGCGTGCTCTCTTGACAAAAGAAATGATACTGCGATAGTGATTCGCGGTTACTTTATCGCAGACGAAAGTTTCATTAGAGTGAAATGAAATGGAAGAGACAAATAAAACTAAAATTAAAGAGATTAAATAAATAGAGGCTTTTCATTCGTTTTACGATTATTTAGGAAATTGTAATCTTTATACAATATCGCTATTTTTCTGTGCATACTATTTTTAATGCGATATCACTCTTGGTTTAAAAATTTGAATATACTAAGCATGGATTGTTGACGGAAAACTTGCAAATATACAACATAAATTACAGCAGGCTGTAAAGGAATAGGTTATGTTTGATATTAATCGTAAATGATAATTTACGATTCATTTTGCATGCTATGCAGTTAATGCGAAGAACAAATATTTGTACGGCTAAATTACAGAAGAGATAGAACAATAAGACATCGCCGAATAATTTATAACAATAAAGATACATAAAAGGCATTGCGAAACGCTAATGCTTCCAAACTTCTCATGTAAACATCTCCAATCTACATCGTATAATATTTCTAGCATACCAACGAAATATTCGTTGGTTGCATTTCGATTTAACGTTTAAATAAAATACCATTACCCAATTGTGAAATTAACGAGAAAATTTAATTAATGATCAATAATAGATATAAATACCACGAAAATCCCGGGAGTTTAACGTTGACGACAGCATATCAAAGCATGTACAGACGAAACCGCGTGTCGCGAAGCCGAGGTCACGATTCATTCACGAAAACGTCCGAATTCGAAACGAATCCGCATGGGTTCACTCGGTTCGAACCCGAGCAAACCCGGGTCTCGCCGAACACTGTTTACACTCGCACATCTTATCAAACACGCGAGAAAGTTACTCCGTTTACCAGAAGTTTCCATAGAACGAGTTCTTTCTTGCGTAGTACGGGCGTGGAAAAACGTGTGCGCCTCGTTTGCGCGAAGATTGAACCGGAGGCGCCACGTGAAAATGCCGGTAGATCATCAAACGTTACAAACGTACAACCCTATCGATGTATTGAAAATTTCACGATCGCGTTGGTAGGCGTACGTATTTGATCCGTGATATACATCCATGACACACAGCGGTTCACTTTCAATTTTCACTTTCGCTTGTAAGTCAACGATTGGAAATAAAATATAAATAGTACTTGCCAATACCTGATATGGGAGCAGCGAGGAAGGCTTGATTGGTCGTGATGAGCAATGAGACCAGCACGAACAAGGACCACGCAAGAACGATCATCCTGGATCGCAGTGATCACTGAGAAGTACTGATAGCGGCTCGATCAGCTTGCCAAACTGTGGACTGCCCCGGGCTTCCACTACGGTTACGGTTTCGCGCACCTGACCGGTATACACACGCGTATGTATCCGTAATTATTCAGCTGGTACGCCAACGGTGATGTTCTCTCTTTGTATATATATCTGTATATATATATATATATATATAGATATAGATATAGATATGCGCGTGAATGTATATACGTATGTATATGTATATATAAACATATATACATATATTTCTGTGTATCAGCAGTTATATAGGTGTATGTACGTCAAAGCTCTTAATTCGGCGTTGCTAGCTTTCGAACACGTTTCTCTCGATGAACCGGGCCGCCGGGCTCAGACACGGCTTCGCCGACTTCTCCGACCAGTTAGCCAGCAGTGAACTGCTCGTGTTCCTGCCTTGGGCATCGTAATATACATAAAGTCGCCAGATAAGCCGCGGCTGACACCCCACCACGAACCTCCCCGTCGTGGGACGGCCCGTTTCCTCGCTCGCTCGCTCTCGATGGAACAGCTTGAAATCCTCTTCTCCTCGAAGCCGCCCCGCCGCTCGTTCTTCCCTTTCTCTCTTTCTCTCTCACGTGCGCTCTTACTCGCTTTCTATGCCAGCTTATACGTGCCCCACGTCCCCGTACACGTGTTCCCGCGGCGCGATTGCAGTTCGCAAACACCAGTCGACCTGTGCAAAAACTACCGTTGCAAACGGGTTTCTTGACTGCTCAGACTTGACTTAGGTAGAAGTTTCCGACATTTTCGGATTATTATAAACGTGATTTTATTGCTTTAGTTCCTTTGGTGCTCTCGGTGACAATGGCAATGATAACGAGTGATAGGCCCATGATGCTTGTATCGAATCTGTCGAATACTCGATTTGACTCCAGTGAAAGTTCAACGAAAGCTGCAGTCTCATGCTCAAACTTGACTCGAGACGGGATTTTTTACACTTCTTGATGATGTAGATATAATTTCACGAGTTCGATTCTTTGGACGTCCGATGATAAAGTTAACTGTGAACATTTTCGATCTCCGAAAAAATGTAGATTCTGAAATGAAACGCGATGGTTCATGGAAGGCTGTTTTCGGAAGGAAGATAAGAATATCTTTGGGATTTATGTAATCTTGATTGTGATTATGGAATTATGTAACTTCTGTGGTCCCTAATTGTAGGTTTACCGTTTTAAACGGATTTCACGCCATCGACTGATATTGTCAACAGTTTTTAATTTTATGAAAATCCAATATTTAATCTCTTGTTTCCAATGCTAATTAGTCACTTCGCACAAGAACATCATGATTCTTATTTTTAACCCTGAATAATGTTCCTTGTGCACAACAAGTTGCAAATTGAACGCATAAAACGTGTGAAAATATCGCTGCTTCTGGAGATTGTAGGAAAATAACGTTCATTTAACGAAGACTTAATTTCCACGTGAGAATAATTAAGAGTACTTCATTCTAAATTGCCTCTAAAGGCGCAAAAAATACGTTCATTAATTTCTAATTCGTTTTTAATACGTAGTTTAAATATACCATATATAGTGATATAATATAAATAAATAACTATATTTAATCATCTGTATAAATACAAATAAGGAATAATAATTGATTAATTGTAAGGACAATCTTGGAATCCATTAAAATAATTGATCATAATTACAGTGTTTATCGCTAAAATCCTTTCTATAAATTTTTATAATTTTTCTATACGATTTAAAAATAATCTTTTATCGGTACAGATGTAGTCAGGGAACACGTGTTCAACATTTTCCACACTTGACGTACTATTGGAGGCTCGTACCAAGGAAACGTTTATCTACCACATGATGCAGATTCTATGCGGAAAAATCATGCGACACGTAGTATTATAATTAGATACTACGAAACGCCGATTACGTTTTGTTCCTTGTCACTGAATGAACGCTCACGAGATTCTGGAAAATTTCATGTTATTCTTGTACGATAACATGGAAAAAAATCAATGAGTCAATCCAACGACGAAACAAACAGGAGAAAAAAGAAGGGAATAACGTATCGAAGGTGTGTCTTGGTCGAACATATAACGAATTGACGATGACAAAATAAAATTATGTTGGAAAGAAAATGACGCACATCGTACACCGTTAATTAAGTTTCTATCGCAAACATTTCCATTATCTGTCAATTATAAGCTAACAACTAATCAGATAGTAAATCTAAGTCCAAACGATTCTAGAACCTACTGCGATATCGTGTGAAAAGATCGTAGTTTTCTTCCTTTAGATCACGTGCTTTTGAAGTCGACAAGGAGTCGATAATCAAAACGAACGGATAGAATTTTTGGTTGCCATTTCGCAATTCGATATTACGTAAAAAGGTAAGTCCTTGACATTCAACGATAAATTTTCGGACCAATAGTTAAGGCGAATGGCGTTCAGCTAGATCCAAAAACGCGAAACGTGAACGAACGTAAAAGCAACGTCGACATAGGCATCTGACGGTCTTTAGATAAGAACAGAATACAAACGAGAAAAATAATGTTTTTAACTGTGTCGGCACAGAATTACATTATGTGTGTGCGTGAAATACAGAGTCGAACAGTGCACAATGTGCCAAGAATTACACAACTGAGTGACTCAATAGATCTAACATTCGGGTGACTGTAAAGACCATATGCAGCCACTTTTGTTCGTCGTTCTAGGCTCTAAACATGCAGCCGCAGGCTACTCGGTGATAAGCATAATATCATCTGCAACAATGTCTTCGAGATTTTCTCCTTCCGACGAAATAATGACGACGAGTACTTGATAACGAAGGCTTCCGTAGAAAATGCAAATTCAGTTTCCTTTAAACAAGTTTGAGTAACATTAAGCAACTAGCTATTCTCACTTTTCTGCAATTACACGAAACACAGCATTTCTCCTCCACAGGTTCATCGTTACGAGTAATTACTCGAGCAGTCGACTGTTTGAAAGATGAGAAACAGATTCGCGATATGTCGTTGTGCCAGTCGATTATTGCCAGGTTTGTATCGTGCCAAATTCGTGCTAAATAAATAGGAGCCCTGTGATAAATGTCGCGTGTCGGAGAAGAGATATATTTCAAAATTCGAGGATCTTGTTTCCCTGGATATCTGTTCATTTTTGCCACTTTCAGTCACGCCGCTAAAACGCGGCTAAATCTAAATGTCACCGCACGTCGAGCAGCAAACGAGTTGTATTACCATAATCTCATCACAGGGGCGCAGATTATACTCGCGTTCTTACCCTACTAATTCCACGTTAAATATTTTCGTCGAGAACGCGGCCTTCCGGAACTTTATCTTTCCTATGCAGCATGTTCACCCGAGTTAATTTGTCCTCTTCGTTTCTGCGATAACGTATGATTCTAATGCGTATCGATTTCATCGATCGTTTATCGTTAATCTGAAATCTATTCAAAAGAATATTAACTTATGGATGCATAAAGACAATATCATTGATAACAAGTAATTATTCATATAGGTCGAATCGATACTCGAGTGTTTTGATTTTATTTTTAATTATTCGATAAGAAGTACATTGAGCACATTTTTGCACATAGTTCAATCCATTAATCTACCAATAAAATTAATCATAAAAGATAATCAATTTTTATGTTTCACCATAACGTTATTTTTTAACCGAATAATAATCCAAGATTTTTATACAGCTTTCCTTATAAAATGAAAATCAAAGCTACCAAGTCTGATGAATGCAAAGATTAATTAATTTCCAAATATTTATAAATAACCCAACAATCAAAACTTGTTTACCTGTCCGATATAATTTCGTTCCCTTCGTGTGTAATGTGTAACGTGTATTTTTAAAAATAGAAAGATATTAATTTTTTAAATCCATACACAACTATTATTTCAATTAATGGTAAGTCACTATCTGCTTGAAATATTTGCTTAATACGTTCATCGGTCGTAGACGTGGTGTATGCATAGGAAACAAGATTTATCGTCTGTTCCAGATGCACCCTGCTTGGTTTGTAGGTTTGAAGGTACAGATCACATCAATGGATCTTTTATCGCCTATCGCCGAATGAGTTTGGTTTTTTCCCTTTCTCTTTCTTTCGCCCTTTTTCTTCCTTCTTTTTCACCGAATGACGAGCTTCTTTCATAATTCTGCCTTTACTAGGCATTACATGAGTGTCACGCGTTGAGGCTAACTTATGTGATACTTGACACACTGCTACCAACGATAACGAGCCACCTGGAACGAGACTAACGAGCATCTCACATTTCGTATGATGTATTCTGCCGTTACTGACATGGTACACGATACGTCTATGTTAGATGAGTCACTACACACCTCGTATTGACCGCCCTCACCGCAGGGGACTTCTTTCCGCGAAGAATTCGTCCAGCTGCCTCCAATTATTGTGCTTCGATTAGATCTCGATTGTTCATTCGCGACACCTCGAGAATAGCATAACCGATTGTATTAATAAGCGAGCAGATTTCCGTCATAAGTCGTAATCAATTTTATATCTAACCACATTTTAAACCAATCGAACTGCTGCAGATAGTACATTGTTGAGAAGTATTTATTATTAGAGTATTGACTGATCAATCGGTCATCACTATCGGTCAGTCTGGACACGCGATTAGGGTATCTGTGGGTAATTCAAACGAAAATAAAGTGAAATTGTATTTTAAAATAATCAGAGTTATTTATACTAAATATGTAATGAATAAAGTATACAGAAATATTCAAGGCATTACGTACCGCCAGTTCCCATTAATGTTTAACCACGTGCTTTCAACGCAAGTGACGTAAATACATCTTGGAAACACCATGACGTTATCACTCGGTCTGCGATAGAAATTAGGAATTTTAGTAACAAGGGAGTAGTTACATTTGTAATACGATCCGGATCTTCGAATTAAGTTGCCTCTATCTTTTCTTATATTAATCCTAATTGAAAGCAAAAAGAATACGAAGCTATTTAAATACAGCAGAGATCGGTATTGCAAGGTTCACGTGATGACGTGGCTGAAGATTTCCATTTAAAGTTAAACAGAAATATCGTGCCCGCTATAAGCCTCCGTGGTTGTAGATTACTCCATGCAGTGGCACACTGAATTATTTTTCTTTTAC